GATTTGGAGAGTGACGCGTTCGCGTGTCATGAGTGCAATGTGCAAATGCACCGCGAGCTTTCAAAATCTTCAATCTGCACTTTAGTTCGATTTCATTGCTTTTGAAGTCCATGGATAGTCTGCCAGTGTAAATTAGGAACAGAGTGCTCGATAATTCATGGTAGGTAGATAGGTAAATCATGAACCTCATTTCCGAATTACCGGGCGAAACATGGTAGTCGAAATCGTGTTAACATCCTAAATTTGATTATGTGTCATTCTTGTTATTCCTTTCATTGTGGATGGTCGTTTCCAACAACTACGTTAAAAGTACGTCTTTTTCATTGATTATGGGGACATCACTATTGTTGTCGCAATGCTGAAGGACTTGCGAGACGTTTTTCTTGATGGTTTTCGATCACCATCCAGCGAGATGCACTGTGGCCCTAGATGATCAAACAGCGGTCAAGGCATAGTTTTGTTCATAGCCAACAGATAGTTCCTCACTTCACCTGTCTTATGTATCTGAGGAATTTTGAGCAGTAGCCATTGTTTAATTTGTTTAAAGTGGGGCCAACTTTATGGAAATTCGATCCTTTGTGCGATATAGTTGCACTTTGAAACAAAAAGTTTCTAATTAGTTCTGTATTATTCGCGCTTTTGTTGAAACTATGCAGATTTGTGATTGCACGAACTAGTTAATATCGCCCTTTCTAATCATGCTATTTAGAACAAATAATTTAACTGGTTAGCAGTAATTTCCTGTTAACGATGATGAAAAGTGCAAGTCATGTACTTCACCGCCCTGTTGGCTGTTTATCGGCTGCATAAGCTTCTCACTTTCCACTTCTGAGGTGCCAGACTTCTCCGATAATCGGTTCATCCGGTTCGCCTCATTCGCTATTGGTCAATTCAGTGATTTGACCAATGTCGAATGAGTGAACCTCACGCACCGATTGTACCGGATCAGTCTGGCACCTACCTGAGTACAGTGTTTCGCCGCACTTACAAGAGACGTGGCCGTTCTATATGAATTCTAAATCATTTTGTAGAACAATGACCTGGGATTCTCTGTCTTAATTAGCTATTGTACTCCTCTAGAAGCCTAGTTATGAGCTTTTCACCAACGAATTAGTGCGTCTGTACTAAATTAATAGATGTTCTTTCAGTACATGAACAATACATTGTTAAATAGAATTTATAGACGAAAAGTATCTAATGCATAGAGTGCTCTGCTATCT